AAAGTTGTAAGTAAATTTGATCTGGAGTTGTAACACGTTGTGTACTGTGTTAGACTATCTGGGACTTGTCACCGAAAGAAACTCATTCAGGTTTAGAACAACTTGAGGTTTAGTAAATGACAATTTTTTTTTTTTGGTGAACCCTTTAACAATGTTTAGACATTTGCATTGGAAAACAGCTTCAAAATTTAGAGAACATAATTTGACGTATTATTTTCCCTTCAATTTATTCCTTGAGTTTTCTATAATTGGTTTTTAAAAGGTCTTTTAAAGTCTTGAGTTTATCTTCATAAAACCAGCAGAAACCCTGTTTATGGACATCACCATTTTTGATTATTTTGCTGAATGCAGTTGTGAATCCTGAAAATGTTCAGGCTCATAGCAGTGCTGGCATATTGGCCATTAGCAACTTTGCTTAAAGGTTTAGTTCACCCAAAAACTAAAATTGTTTTAAAGGTTTAATGACTTCCTTCTTTCAGATGAATCCAAACTGAGTTATATTAAAAATTGTCCTGGCTCTTCCAAGCTTTATAATGGCAGTAGGCAGATGTTTTTTTTTTCAACAGTCCAAAAGTAGTCAAATAAAGTGCATCCATTCATCCATAAAACGTGCCTCAAACAGCTCCGGGGTGCTCCTGAAGCAAATCGATGCATTTTTGTAAGAAAAATATCCATATTTAAATTGTTATAAACACTTTCGCTGACTGTCATACGAGCAAGCCGTTCCGGGCAGATGACGTAGGATGTATGCATCAGGAGCAAAGGAAGCAAAGCTTCCTTACTTTAGCAAAGGTCTCCTCTTTGCTTGTATCAAAATCCTCTGACATTTCTTTACAAATCCTCAAATCCTTGTGTACTTCTAATTCGTGACCGGTGTTTTGTTTTGCTGTCTCTCCTCCACCTTCGTCACTAATCACTGCCGCATGCGCTACGCCTATGTCCTACGTCAGGGTTCCTCAAATCTCGCCCTGGAGGGCCAATGCGCTGCAGAGTTTACCTCCAACCCTGATCAAACTCACCTACCTGTGATTTTCTAATGATCCTGAAGACATTGATTAGCATGCTCAGGTGTGTTTGATTAGGGTTAGAGCTAAACTCTGCAGGAAAGTGGATCTGGTGGAAATTTGAGGATCCCTGTCCCATGTCATCCGCCCAGAACGGCTTGCTTGTATGACAGTCAGCAGAAGTGAGAGAAAGTGTTTATAACTATTTAAATATGGATATTTTTCTTACAAAAACGCATCGATTTGCTACAGGAGGATTTGTTTACTCCCCCCGAACCCGTGTGAGGCACGTTGTATTATGGATGCGCGTGCTTTATTTTACGTCTTTTGGACTGTTGAAAAAAAAAAAAAAAAAACACCCGCCTACTGCCATTTAAAAATCTTGGAAGAGCCAGGACAATTTTTAATATAATACGATTGGGTTCATCTGTAAGAAGAAAGTCATACACACCTAGGATGCCATGAGGGTGAGTAATTGCGCTAATTTAAATTTTTGGGTGAACTAACCTTTAAGAGTCATGCTTTTCTCTGGAACATGCAGTGCAACAGACTATTATTTAAAATCTCTTGACACTAAGATATTTTCAGTTCATTATTAAAATGGTGGGACAGATTAGACTGAATTGCAAGCAGGCAAAATTGGATTAAGGAACAAAAACTCATACGTTGCATTGGTTTGTCACATTTTATGACATTCAGAAATCATGTAAAATACCGGTAAAGAAAATATGCAAATGTTCCCCCTTTTTTAGCCTAGTTGGTTCCGGAAGTGTATTTTCCACTTATTTTCCCTTTGGGATTTTAAAGTCTTTGTGTTCAGCAGAACAAAGAAATTTGTACAGGTTTTTAACAAGTTTAATAAAGGAAGTTATTTTGAACGTTTGTAACCAAACAGTTGAGGCGCACCACTGACTTTTGACTTTCATGTTTGGTTAAAAACATTTTTCAAAATATCTTCCTTTGTGTTCATCATAAAATAAATTTATACAACTTGAGGGTAAATGACAATTTTCATTTTTTGGTAGCTGTCCTTTTAACAAAGTGCACAACTTTAATAGTGTATGTACGTATGTGTGTTCAGTTGTTGTAATGTAATATTTTGTGTTTTCCTAGCCAGCCAGTGAAATTGAGGATGTTAAAGAAATTGACGAGGGCATTCTGATTGTAACTGAGGAACAGCAATGTGATGTGCTTCCCAAGGAATAACCAACATTGCTCTCATTTGGACATCTTGTCATCACTGACATATCTGATGTCCCCAAGGCATTTAGACTCCTGATGGGTCTGTATATGGTGAACATCCACTACCCCAAGCATATGAAACACACCTTTGAGGCTATGCAAAAACTTGCAAGGACCAGCTGCTCCAATGTTCATGATGTGTTCATGGGCTCCACAGCAAGCTCTTCACAAAGTGTAGGTTCTTTTTAAAGGAGCTCTCTAGGTTCTTTTGAGCCTTTACTACTTTTTAGAATGCACATTTAAAGTTGGTCATATTATGACTTGGACTATGCATGTTCTCATGAAGAAAATTGTTTAACATCTCATTTTCTTTTACAGTAATGTAGTACACATTTTCCTTTAAATTGACAAGTGCTTTTACTTTCCTCTTTCTATCTGTTTCTTGTTTTATGACCACTAAATTGCATTAAGATGTGGGAGAGTTTGGAAACTTTCAAGGACATTGTGATGTTTACACTTCTGTCTTGTCATGTTGCGTGCGGTATGGAATTTAGAATCAGACTTTTGTGTTTGCATGTGCATTCAGTTCATAATTTATTATACAGAAGTACAGTACACATTTTTTTTTTAAACTAAATGTGATTGCTTTTGCCTTGTGCATATACACTTACTGGCCACTTTATTAGGTACACTTTGTTAGTACCGGGTTGGACCCCCTTTTGCCTTCAGAACTGCCTTAATTCTTTGTAGCATAGATTCAACAAGGTTTTGGAAACATTCCTCAGAAATTTTGGTCCATATTGACATGATAGCATCACGCAGTTGCTGCAGATTTGTCGGCTGCACATCCATGATGCGAATCTCCCGTTCCACCACATCCCAAAGGTGCTCTATTGGATTGAGATCTGGTGACTGTGGAGGCCATTTGAGTAAAGTGAACTCATTGTCATGTTCAAGAAACCACGCTGAGATTATTTGAGTTTTGTGACATGGTGCATTGTCCTGCTGGAAGTAGCCATCAGAAGATGGGTACACTGTAGTCATAAATGGATGGACATGGTCAGCAACAATACTCAGGTAGGCTGTGGCATTTAAACGTTGCTTGTCCAATTTTGGTGAGCCTGTGCAAATTGTAGCCTCCGTTTCCTGTTCTTAGCTGACAGGAGCGGCACCCGGTGTGGTCTTCTGCTGCTGTAGCCCATCTGCTTCAGGGTTCGATGTGTTGTCCGTTCAGAGATGGTATTCTGCATACCTTGGTTGTAACGAGTGGTTGTTTGAGTTACTGTTGCCTTTCTATCATCTCTAACCAGTCTGCCCATTCTCCTCTGACCTCAACAAGGCATTTTCGTCCACACAACTGCCGCTCACTGGATATTTTCTCTTTTTCGGACCATTCTCTGTAAACCCTAGAGAAGGTTGTGCGTGAAAATCCCAGTAGATCAGCAGTTTTTGAAATGCTCAGACCAGCCCGTCTGGCACCAACAACCATTCCACGTTCAAAGTCACTTAAATCCCCTGTCTTCCCCATTCTGATGCTCGGTTTGAACTTCAGCAAGTCGTCTTCACATCTAGATGCCTAAATGCATTGAGTTGCTGCCATATGATTGGCTGATTAGCAATTTGTGTTACCAAGCAATTGAACAGGTGTACCTAATAAAGTGGACATGCTTCTTCTTCCTCTCCTCGGGGTATGACGGGCGGTTTTTAGCCACCATGGCCGCAAATGAATGCTTAACCCAAGGTCCAGAGCCAGAAGAAGCATGCGACCTGACACGCAGGTATTCCCCGGCATTTCTTTCTCCACCCGCAAAGAGAAGAAGGTGGGAATACAGCCCTCTTGTTCGGAGTTCATTATGGGCCTGTTCAGTGAGCTCTCCTCAAAGTCAGAGAGATGAGGGAGCTCAGAGTCATATTCAACATTGTCACCAAGCACTCACTTGGTGTTTTCAAACACTTTTCAGTTTGGGGAATTAGAAAATTAATCACAACCACGCCACGGACTGTTAGAACACGGGCGTGTTAGAACGAGCCATTTTAGGTAAGCGTGGTTGACTCTTAACTTTTATAAAGAATATCTCTTTGGATTTGAGACTTTAGTCTTTGTAACTTTATGCACCAAGAGCTTGTAACACTCCAAAGAGAAAGGAAAAGTTTAAATCTCATCATATGACCCCTTTAATGTTTTTCTGTAGGATAGGGTACTTTCCCTCCAAGCAATACGAAATACCTCTAGTTTATTTTCCTCCAGCTGCGCTCCATTTTCCGGGCTGCTCTCTTTAGGGTGCGAGTGTGTTCATTATATCACGGTGTCAGACTCTTTTCCTTAATCGTCCTTAAGAGTAAAGGAGAAACCGTATCTAAAATGCTAGAAAAGAGAGAGTTCATAGTTTCTGTTACATCATCAAGTTGTTCTGAGGTATTGGATATGCTAAGGAATTTAGATAAATCAGGAAGATTACTTACAAAGCAGTCTTTTGTGGTAGAAGTGATGGTTCTACTATACTTGTAACAAGGAGTAGAATTTACAGTTTTAGCTATATGAAGTTTGCACAAGACTAGATAATGATCTGAGTAGTGTTGGGCGATATGGTAATTTTTCAAATCGTCATATCGCCAGTCCGTGAGATCACCGATAGACGATATTATCGTGCATGGGTGGATGGGGGCAAGAGAGAGACTCTCTGTACTTGTCATAGGCTATTTCATAACTATTTGGAGTTTTAAACTGCGCGCGAGCGAGAGAGAGGGAGCCTATGGAAGCACCACAAATCTAAATAATATACTTTCAAACATACTGATAAACTAACATGTTAAATACAAAAATATTTAAAACAGCTAGTTCATATATATTCGGATACAACAGTCATACATCGCTATTAGGACCACGCATCCTGTGACAAGTTTGCCGCATTGACGCACGGAAGTTATCAGTCTGGTCTGCAAAATCAGTCAACGGTGAAAATCAAAAGTAGATTTATTTTAAATTGGAAAGAGAATTATAAATGTACAGTTTATAAATGTGTGAATTTCTGTCATCATGGTCATTTTCCATAACACTGAATGTTGTAACAAAGGTAATAAAGAGTTGGTTATTATTATTAAGTCTCTTTCCGGCTCAGCTGCATTGGTTAAGCGTATGGGGCTGTCACGTGATGAACGAACGACTCGAAAAACCCGAAGACTCGAAACAGATGAACTACTTGACTAATTCCAGTACAGAACCTATAGGATGTTGCGAATCAAAATGAACGAATCGTTCAAGAACGACCCAACACTAATTAAGATGAATAAGAGCATACAGACTAGTTGACATTCCAATGTTAAAGGGACATTTTAAATTGAAATTAATGTTTTATGAATGTTTAAATGTTTTATTTGAACAGTTATTTTGTATTACACACTAAAACTGTCCAGTAATATGTTCAGTATCCTGGAGTATTCAGGAGACAAATGATACTGTTAGTTAAGAGAAAGGAGTTGAGCATCTGTGTTTATGATGAAGATGAATGGAGATCAGATGTGTGAGATCAGAATAAGAGCTTGTTTGATGCAGTTCTTCTGTATGTTTGTAAATGTGTAAGTTGTACCTGATTTTAGTTCATGATGTCTGTAGATTTCAGTACGTGTGTGTGTGTGTGTTTGTTTGTGTATGTGTGTGTGTGTGTGTTTTGTTCTTCAGGTCTGGATCGGTTCTGCAGGTGATTCAGGGAATTACAGATTAACACTGCTCTGGGACACAAACTCAATCTGATGATGGTGCTGTATGATAGTGTATATGACCTGAGGTTACGTAAGAGAATAATCAACACAGCAGATGGCCCAGTTTGTAGAGTAAAGAATGGCAGGATGAGGATGAAGGATTGTGATCTTTATATTAACAGAACTGAAGTGACAGTCATTAATGGGACTCTGATAATAAACCGTGTGATCAGAGCAGATTCAGGGAATTACAGATTAACACTTGTTGACTCAGACGGCTCAGAAACATCTAGAGATCTTCAAGTGATTGTTGAAGGTACAGAAACTCTCTCATCAGACTCATTACAATCTCATGTTCTCCAAAGATCTCACTCTCATGCAGATGAATCAGTTGAATCTCTGTGAAGGTTTTTATTGCAGCTCATTATTAAATATCTGGAAGAATTAAGGTCAACAGCATCTGCACTTTTCTTGTACTAAGACCATTTTCAAAATGAAATACCAACATGTTGCTTACTGTATACTGCATACCAAACAGTCATCTGCTGCATTGCTGTCACATGACTAACCTATGCTGTGTGTTTAATTTAGTGAGTCCAGCTATCAGATAAAAACTTTGGTTAAGAAATGTCTTGATATTGACTCATAATGAGTCTAGAAAAAAGTAATGTGACTGTGATGTGTCCCTCCCTCCAGCTCCTATTGGCTCAGTGGAAGTGTCAATCATCTGCTCCTCCAGTGGGGTGATGAGGGTGTCCTGCTCCTCTGAGGGGGATCCGCTCCTCTACAGCTGGACTCTGAATGGAGATCCACTGATGATTGGAAACAGCAGCATTGATCTGGATGAGGGAACTGATGGAGACATCAGCTGCAGCGTGAAGAACCACGTCAGTCACGCACAGAAGACCATTAGACTCAAACCCTGTCCTGGTGAGATTTTAATACGTGAATGCCCAGATACATATAGAAACCAGAGCAACTAATAATGCAAGTCTCTTAACTGGGCTCTTAATTCTTGAAAAGTGTTACTAGTTTGTTTCAGCTTGATCTCAGCAGTGAATTGTGTTGATGTGGTTCAGAGAGAAAGCAGGTGATTCTGTGCTGATGTTTTATTACAGGACCAACTACTGCAGCTGTGACCTCTAGTGTGACCTCTAGTGTGACCTCTGCAGTGACCTCTGCAGTGACCAGCAGCACACAGACACCAGAATGTGGTACGAGTTTAACAAACACACTCCTGGAAACATGAAGGATGGGTTTTGTTTTGTGTCTAATTGTTGTTGTTCAGTGTGTTCAGTGTCTGTGGTGTTTGTGCTGGTCTGGTGTCTTCAGCTGATGGTTCTGTTGGGTCTGTTAGGAGGTTTTCACATCTACATGAGACACACGTCAGGTGAGAGACGTTTATCATCATCATTATGGATTTGACATGCAGATATTAAGAGTGTGATGATGATGATGATGATGTGATGCTTTTAGGAAAGAAGCAGGAAGATCAGAAAGTGAGGATGAGAAGATTTAGAGAAGGACCTGAACACACAGCAGAAGATTCATGAGAGCAGCAGCAGATCATCACATCTATGAGAAATAACTTCATAATCTCACAGATTCTCACATAAATCCAGGTTTCAGCTGTCGAATAAAATTCAGACACCATTTCTATTGTATGATATTGCATTTTCTCGTAATAAACACTGAAGTCTGTCTGATATGAATCAAAAGCCTTTGATGAGCTCATAAACAATTTAACTTAGTTTTTTTTTCCTCATAGAAAGTGCATTGATACAATTTAAACAAAGCAGTGCCAAACAATAATTACAGACTTTCTGCACTTTTAGAAATGTGACTGTGAAATGATTCTTCTTGTTTGATCTTTCTCTTACTTTCAGTTTTTGTGTGTGTGTGTGTGTGTGTGTGTGTGTGTGTATGTGTGTGTGTGTATGTGTGTGTGTGTGTGTATTTAAGTAGGAACTGCTAAATCACAGTAACAATCTCTGAAAACTTCCTCTTACTTTCTTTGTAAAAGTCGTGTAATCTCCTGATGTGTCAGTAGAGCTGCTGCTGATCTGACTCTCTTCTGCTGGACTTTAGAGAAGTGATGCTCATCTTTGGACTGCTGCTGCTGCTGCTGCAGACTGCTGCATGTGAGTCACTTTCACATCAAACTCTTGTGAGGCTGATCAATCAGATCAATCTCTGAAATAAAAACAGTGATATTCAATTAATTGCAAGACTTATAGTTAAAGAGTTGAATGTTTTTGTTAAAGACCCCAAAATGTTGTGGACAAAAAGTTTGTGGTGGAAATTCAGAAATAAAGTGCAGGAGTCTGAATTTCCTCCACAGCTGACAGAGCTCCTCAGAAATCTCCTTCTGTAAAGAATAAGTGCTGATTATGTACCAGAAAACATAAATAGCATTCACTTATTGATTAAACATACTACTTTAACTTTGAAAAAGCTTGCAAACTAAAATAGCATTTTATATCAAATGATTGCGCTTCTATTCTTGTTTTCACACATTATCATGTTTCAGCTTTATCGCTGCTAACAGATCTCTAACTTCCTCTTCTCTCTTTTTTATTTGCTGATAACATGCCTCTATATCAGAAATAGTTCATTATATTTTATAGTTTTTTCCTGCAGTCATTATTTGCACTAAAATATTCTCTTTGCACTCAAAAGAGCTAAATTCAAAGCAGAAATTTCGCAGCCAAGCAATCCTCAGTATTATTAAACATTAAAATATAGCATGCCATTTCTATTAAAGTCATACATGATATTTCTCTTTACATTGTGCACACATACTGCCATTTATTAATAAATCCAGATATGTGCACGGTAACTAAGGTTTATACACCAGACCTCTGATGTTCTGGCTGGTGCACATTTATTTAATGTGATACGAATTAAATTATGAGCAATGATGGATTGGAGATGGGGGTTTTTTTGTTTGTGTGTTGTAGATGCTTTCCGCCGGCTATTTTTTATTAATTTTTTCAGTTGTTTTCAAAAAGTTTCAGGACGTGTAGAAAAACTGCACTTTTTATCATTTGAAACCTGATATGAGATCAAGAGTCTGATGCGTGTCTTCCGTAGAACTTATGCATATTTGTGTCTGATTGAAATTCATGATGAGAGAGATGATATTTATACCAGCAGTAACACTCTGACTCTGTCTGTCGATGTTGGTAAAATTTCATTTTGTGTGTGATTTGTTCTTTAGGTCTGGATCGGTTCTGCAGGTTTGATCAACTATATTCGATCAAACAATGTTACGCAGCTCTGGGACACAAACTCAATCTGCAGATGGAGCTGAACCCTCAATATCAAGACCTTCATTTGTATAAGTTAAATGATGGCAGTATACTGGAAGTTTTTAGCATAAAGAAAAATAAAGAGTATGATTATGTATCCATCAGAGACATATATGAGTTCTTTAAAAATGTGACTCTGATCACAAATACACATGAATCCATCAAAAACAGATCTGAGTTCTTCTTTGATAATTTGACTCTGACCATAAACAATGTGATCAGAGCAGATTCAGGGACTTACACATCACAAGTCGTTGAGATAGATATGGTCACAGCCAGTGATCTTCAAGTGATTGTTGAAGGTATAGAAGCTCTCAGAAATATATTTTATTTTAGAAATGCCTTGAGATTGACACTGATTATATGTTGAGAGAGTCATGTGACTGTGATGTGTCCCTCCCTCCAGCTCCTATTGGCTCAGTGGAAGTGTCAATCATCTGCTCCTCCAATCAGACTTCAGCGTTCTGCTCCTCTGAGGGGGATCAGATCATCTACAGCTGGGCTCTGAACGGAAAAATTCTAGAAGAAGGACCAATGATTGGAAACAGCAGCATTGATCTGGATGAGGGAACTGATGGAGACATCAGCTGCAGCGTGAAGAACCACGTCAGTCACGCACAGAAGACCATTAGAGTCCAACCCTGTCCTGGTGAGATTTTCATACATGAATGTCCAGATACTGTATATAACAACCACAGCAACACCAATGATGTAAAGCAGTCAAGTCTCGTAAAGAGGCCATTGGATGCAAAATTCACTTTTACATGTTGTTTAAACATAAATGTGTGTTGGCAGTAGGGGTGTGCAGCGAAGCCAGTATTTGTATCTGTAACAATCACAAAATTATTCGTATCTGTATTCGGCTAAAACCGGAAGTAGGCGGAGCTTGAACCGGAACTTTGTACAGTTACTTGATAAGACCTTGTGTCTATGGTTTTACAGACTATATTTTTTTCGTAGTAATCACTGATCAAATATGATTATAACATTTATTTAAATACCTTCTTACAGTCAGAGCCGATACACTTGTTTTGGCAGTGCTTCGAGATGTAGTGCTGCGCTTTGGGCGATGCAAGTTCGAGTCCCAGCTGGGGACCTTTCGTGATCCGATAAATAAATATTTAAATATCTTCTCATTAAAACGGTAAGGGATCCTGCCCAGTTTAGAAATATGGAAATTGATTTAAGTAATTTCCAAGAAATGCATGGAAAAAGGCAACTGCAACACTGCTATTTTATTTGCGTTTATTTCATTCATAGAATTTACACTCATTTACTGCACACACTTGTTATTTTAGAGGTTTATGTAAAACAACATGCTTTCCTTTGGCTCACCGGTTTTTGTGCAGTTTAAAAAAGTATTTCACTAAGTAATTTGCAGGTCTGAAAAAGTATGGGGAAAAAAGAGAACAGAGTATGGAACAATATTTGTGTTTCAACTATTTGCCCTATTCGGTGTTCTAAAATATAAAATTAATAATTTCTACAAATAAATGTATCATACAAGCAGAGAGATTTCATGACAAAAGTTTAGAGATGTTTCGAAACACTGCTCCGAAGTGTGATTCGAAACACCCACGTCACATGACTTACAAACACTTAAAGCATTGAATAAGAAATATTATATTGTATAAAATAAATAGACTACAAATAGACTGAATAGTCTTCACTGCATAAATTCAATTTACATTATTTCACAAAAGCGATTCGGTCAAGGACTATCTTTCTAATGTTTACTTTACATTATTGACACAAATAACAACAGCAGCTATATTAGGCTTCTTTGGAGGAATAGTTCACCCAAAAATTTAAGTTATGTTGTTGTTGTTCTAAACCTGAATGAGTTTCCTTCTGATGTTGAATGCAAAAGTATATATTTGGAACAATACTGGTAACCAAACAGTTTCTGTGCCCCCGTGACTTCCATAGTATGAAAAAAAAACACTATTGGAGTCAACAGGGACCAGAAACTTTCTGGTGGTTATGTATATTCTTCTAAATATCTTCTTTTATGTTGAGGAGAACAAAGAAATGCATACAGGTTCAGAACAACTTGAAACTGAGTAAATTATAACAGTATTTACATTTTTGGGTGAACTATATCCCTTTAAAATCTCATGATATAATGCCAGGATTTCATAATAGCCAAACTAGTGCACATGCTTTATCTTTAACTATTAAGGTTCATTTAAGACACAAATGACTGTGTTGACGAGGAGACAGGCATTTTGACACATAACTATATGTATTCGAACGTTTAAACACAAGGCGCGAAAAATAACTCTTAGTTTAGTTTAGTCAGGCGCTGTACGAGCAAGTATCAGAAA